TATATATATATATATGTGTGTGTGTGTGAGGCGTTGTGGTGAAATCAGGCGCTCCTTAGAGTAACACAATTGGAGAAACAGGCATTTTCCCACCAGTTTTGCAATTTTAATCCAATTTTTTGTTTTTTGTTCAACCCTTTTATGTCCAAATAAGTACACATTATAAATCATATTGAAAAACATTGATTAAAAGCTCAAAATATGTAATTTTTCAGTTTTCAAGGACTCTTTAGCTATTGAAGTTACCAAACTTTGGCGGCCATTTTCTCACTATTTTTACTGCTGAAACCAAGTGAACTTACCTCTTTCTTTCACAAATATCTTCACCTCTGCTCAAGATAGATGGGGGGGTTTTTTTTCATCAAAAGCAAGATAAAAGAACAAGCTTTAAGATGATACCAATAACTCCAAATACACAAAAATTGACGAGCGCCTGATTCCACCGCACCGTGACTCAATTGTTCTTCAATAATATTTGATTTATTTTGTGTTTTCAGTACCCAGAGCGAGTGTTTACATCGAAGCACGGAGTGACTGCTTTAGACTTTTCTACTGCTAATGCAAATCTCCTAGCTGTGAGTTGTCTATGTGTTTTCATTTCTTATTGAGTCAATATCACTTGAAAAATTGAACTGTTTAGTTTTAGTTTGAGTTTTACGGCACTTGCAACCCAAATAAGTCATATAAGTGCCAAAAGTAAACTGCCAAGTACCAGTATGTCAAGTTGAAAAATTGTTTGAGTCGGAGAAACTTGAATTGAAATGAGGTCTGAGTTTCTGTTCTCTATTTCTTGTCTACTGGGAGTGGGGAGGTTCTTTTTTCATAAAGCCTTTACAGATTTGTTTCCCACACAATTAAGGTTATTTTGCAAGAGAGGTTTGGGAAATGACTCATGAACAGAAAACTTACAAGTGAACGGTCACCATCCCTTTACTAGGACCACTTTAATCATAATTATTTCTTCTGGAGTTTTTTGACAGAGACAGTCTACAAAAACAACCAACAAATGATCGAACAGTTGAATCTCAATGTGGAACAGGATGTCTAAAAAATCCACTCAGAAACGTCCCACAAGGTTATACAAAATTTCCAGCGGCGTATTCAAACTTGTCCGGAGAGAAATAGTCAATGCCTGGGGCATACAACTTACATAGCCTCTATCTTCCCTGACCGAAAATATTCTGAAAGCTGCATCTCAGCACATTCCACGGGGATGCCGAAGAAATTTCAAACCCTTTTGGAGTGAAGAAATCCAAACTGCTGTGGCAGAAAGAGAGAAAGCCAGACAGTCATTGGAAAAATCACCATCAACAATAAACAAAATACACTACAACAAGACCTGCGCTCAGGTGAAAGTGACAG